TTGAATGGAATATGAAAGGCATGTTCAGATTTGTCCGCAAGGTCATAAACACCACATCCAGTCTCTTTGGTCAGACAAGGAAGCGTCAGTGTACATCACCTGGAAATTATCAGTCAGGTAGTTGGTTAATAAGCTGGCATGCTGCGCTCTTACACTTTCCGCAGTGGTGGATGCCTTGTTACCTGTAAAAACTTTGTCGACGATTTTTACATTGGGGGAAAGGGACCACCGGTCAATCTCATCAAGACAGTCAAGAATATGCTGGTATTGTCGATAGACCATCGAGTAGCTTGAAGTTATGTTCGGATTGGAGATAATAGAGTCTGAAATCGGGTCCTTGTGGGCAAAGATTTTAACCAGCTCTTTTGCTGTGAGCCATTTTGCACGTTCTGCAGGTGGTAACTCATTTGCAAGGGCGCAAATGATGGGGACAGGAGTTGAAGGAGTGAGACCAAGACACCTTCTTAAGAATTTGTTTTTGCAGCACTGATATTTTATTGAAAGCGGTCTTAGAGCTATTTGCGGCCGTAGTGTAACCGTACTCAATTTTTGACCGTACCATTGATTTATAGATATTTAAGGCTTTCTGGGGATGTAAACCTGACTTGATGTTAGTTAGGTACTTAAAAAGTTTAATGTTGCTAGACGCGGCTTCAACAGTGGCGGTATAGTGGCTATTGCTAGTCATTGCCATATTTAAAGTTCTTCCTAGAATTTTGACTTCGTTGACTTGTTGTATCCTACTACTACCAACAAGGATGTCTATTGCCTTTTTCGACCCTTGAGAGATGTGCATAACACTTGTTTTCGAGGGATTGAACATTAAATTGAGACGGTTACATTTCGCTACAAACAGACTCAATTTGGACTGCATATTATTGACTGCTTCCTCAAAATTGTTCCCTGCAGAGATAAGAAAAAAATCGTCTGCAAACTGATAAATGCTGGTCTTGCAGTCGCCCAGATTATGAAGCTTCGCAGTGTAAATGTTGAAGAGAATGGGGGATAACACACTACCTTGAGGTAGACCGTTTTGAATTTGTGTGACCTTATCGCCCAGCTGAAGAATTCTGAAAGAAAGGAAGTTTATAATCCAGTCAACATAAAGGCTTTCTATGTGCAAGCTTATGAGTTGATTTTTAAGAATGATGGATTAATTGATTTAAACAAACTGAGGTAGACTTATTTTTCCTGTATGCAAAAGTAGAGTGAGGGAGGATGCTATTCGTTTCAATAAACTCATTTATTCTGTTTTTGACGCACGAGTTTATTGTTTTTAGCATGACCGAAATAAGTGAGATCGGTCTGAGATTTTGGTAGAGACTTAAATCGCTACCCTTTTTGGGTATTGGAACAATCTTGATTGTTCGCCAATGGTAGGGGATTTGTTTCGTTAAAAAATTGTCATTAATAGCAGTCCTAAAGGAGTTGATTGTCTGATCCGATAGCGCCTTGAGCATACCATATGAAATTCGATCCACTCCCGCAGCTGTATCTTTCTTTTTGCTCAGCACCTCCTGAATCTCCTCGTAGGTGATCGCCAGCTCATGACGTGGCTGAACAGCATTGTTGATCTCCTCATTGGACGGTTGTGCGGCAACCTGCTCCTTCAGCATGTCTAAATATAGCTGGTTGTTTTCTTCGTTTCATAGACCCTTACAATCTTGACTATAATCCCCCCTCAACGACCTCACAAACCGCCAAGCTCCACTACCCATGCCCTGATTTATCTCCTCTATTTTTCTATTGAAATTATCTTTTTTTGCTCTTTTTACCTCCTTCTTCCATGTTTTTTGTTGCTCGATGAGACTTTCCATGTTTTCCGGACTTGGACACTGCTTGACTTTTTTAAAGGCAATAATGAGAAATCTGTAAACCTTGGCCAAGTCATCATTCCACCAGGCTTTTGGTAATCTATTGTTTTTGGTATTAAAAGTCGCCTTATCGATTTACTCTTGTATTCTGGACTCCAACGCTTGGACATTCGACTCACACTCAACCTCTCTCAAAGCCTCAAGGAGTTTTCTTTTGGCTGTGAACTTCCTTATGTTTTTCGCAATTGCATTCGTTTCCACGATTATAGGGAAGTGGTGACTTCCACCAATACGCGTTTGGTCCACTGACCATTTGCACCGCATAGTGCTGTTAGTGAAAGTCAAATCAAGCACAGAGCCCCCTGTCGATCTCATGTCCCTTTTATAGGTAAGGCTGCCATCGTTAAGACTATGAAAAAAGGATTGTTGAATGGTGTTAGTCAAATGTTTGCCGCGATTGGAGTCCACACTATCACCCCAGGCAAGGGCTCTAGCGTTGAAATCGCCCATCATAAAAACATTATTAAAAGGTTCCAGAAACAATAATATCCTATCCATTTCATTGTTGAAATCCCTAATACTGAGGTTGGGTGGAAAGTATGCGCTACAGATGACAATATTAGGGTTGAGATTTTTAGTCTCAATCAGAATAATGTCATAGTCAGAGTGAAAGGTGATTCTTTTAAATGAAATGTCTTTTTTGATGGCAATGGCAACACCACCATAACCATCAGGGCGATATTTTTTGACCAGTTTAAAGTTTATCAGTTTCCTGTGTGGAGTACGACTAGATAGAAAAATCTCGCTAAGGCAAGCAATGTCGATCGATATTTGTGCAAGTAGAATTCTATAGAATCTAAGTTAGCTCGCAGTGATTGGCAATTGTATTGTAATAGCTTCATCATGTATGAACGGATTTAGTGATCCCGTAATCTCAGTCTCATCTCTTCTGGCAATAATTGTTTCAAATTGATTTTTAAGGCATTGTATACCTTCAAAAAGTTCAGTGTCGTTACTCTGAATAGAAATTCGTTGTGTGATTTTTATCATCTCAGTTATGAGACGTTCAAACTGTGATACGAGACCTTTTTGGTACTCAGGTGAGTTGTAAACTGGATTCCCAGGGGCTTTAGCCGTCGTCCGTCTAAATGGCTCTCTTACCGTTATAGGAGCTGACATTGTCGCAACTCTTTTAGCAGTTTGGCTGTATGTTCTTCTCGTGAAATTTCTATTTATATTGTTTTCCCTATCCACAACCTCAGTATCTTGCGTCGGCAATGCAGGAAAAGTCCCATCATCGCATTCTAACATGCTGAACCTATTGTTTCTGGGATAGTATTGATCCAATACTTCCTTCCTAGACAACTTCTTGACTGTCCTGATGCGATTGACCATCTGTTCCTTTTCCCAATGTGGGCACATTTCTTTATTCGTAGCAGAGTGGCCTGTCTTACCGCACAAAATGCAGACATTTGCACTACATGAAGGGTCCTGGCATTCACCTTTACCGCACATAACACACCTCTTTTTACCTTTGCATGACAATTTGGTGTGACCAAGACGGCCGCAATTGTCGCATTGTCTCAAGGGGGGAATATAAAAGTCAACAGAGAGCTTTGTATAATTGTAAATTATAAATTTGGGAATGTCATCACCAGTGAAACCAATTTTGACCGAAGTTGTCAGCACATATGAATTACTTATGGTATCTTTTCTATTGAAGCGTCTGACAGAACATATCGGAATGGTGGACCTAGCTTCCTTTTTTATTTAATTTTTTTTTTATTTTTTCATTTTCCTCAAAGCACGTGGGTATGCCCCTTACAACTCCATACATTTCTAAGGCCGTTCGGGGTATAAACGGTCTTAAGCCTCTTTGGAAAATTTTTCATCACTTATAAAATTGTTGGCCGCAAAGGTATTTTTAAAAGTAACTTTGTATAACGTTTTGCCAATGGCAGTAATAAGGTCCATGTCTTTAATTCTCAGATCTTTAATTTGGCTGAATAAAGTCAGACCAGTTGAGACTTTTTTGTTTGTCATCTGTGTGTTGGCTGACGCATCAACCAACACAAAGATTTCACCCTTAAAGTGTTGAGGGTATAACACTGTGTCAGTTTCGTCTCTTGTACTTTGATTTGGTCTAACTGTACCACAGCCACCTGCGTTTTCGGTCCCGTTGCTGTTCCTGCATCGGTTTCAACAACCATATCATTATTTTGTTCTACCGTTATTTTTCCACTACACGTTTTTCCTTCTTTTTCATGTAATTTCACTAGCCCTCCACTAGCAGAGAGCTCATAAAAATCCGAACCAGCATCATCAATGCTGATTTTTTGCTTTTTAGAGTTAATATCTTCAGTTTCATCTTCAATAGACGTCACCGACCATGGAGTCGGCGACGCCAAACTACTCATTTTCTTCAGCGCCCTAAGTGGCACTTTTTTCTTTTTTTTTAACAGGCAACTTAAGATTTTTCCTATTAACCACTACCACAAAAAACAATAAGAAAGTTTTGCCAAGATTACTCACCTAATTCTTATGCTTCCCCAGAATATTTGTTAATCGAAGACACACGCTTTAATTAAAACAGAAATTTACACGCGCACACAAAAAGCCAAAGACAATTGCAAAAAATTGAACGCACTGTACTTAAACACAGGTATTTCACAAAAAGACGCGCACGACCCACGCACGCTCTTCGCCAAAATCTGAATGTCGACATTTCAAATATATCAACAAACATTTGTGGGTACTTTTGCACCAGTCATTGCCTATGGGTTAATGACAAAAGAATCCTATACATGCACAATATTTCATGTATTAATTTTCAAATAAGACTGCTTTTACACAGTTCAAGTATTGAATTCAATTCTGCTCGCATGTGGAAGAGAGGGGGTGAGAAGAAAAGGGACGAGTACACATGCGTCTGTACCGTCAAGTCGTTTCAACTTTCTTGCATTGCTTTTGGCATTTTCGTTGCTTCCCAGAACCAAAAACTTGAATTCAACAGAATTGAAACGTGTAAAAGCAAATAGAAAACACAAAAGAGAATGAGCAAGAATTGCTTTCAAGTACTTGAATCATGTAAATCGGGTGTAAGCATATTGTCAATGGCTGGTTTACTGTATACTGTGGTCACAGCGTTACAAATAGTGGAAATGTCATTTCGTTTGACATGTATGCGTTTCACTTTCGTTGCGTTTCACTCTTTGTCATTACTCGACAATTTTTGGGTAAACTTGAATTTTGTTCGTTCGTGAATTTATTTATAAATTAAGAAATAAGGAGCAAAATGACTAATAGTGTTGAAGGTACAGGCCAGGACGTTGAAATGGATGTGGAACCTTCCAGTGAAACTGTAGGAGATGCGAAAAAAGATCAAGGCGTTTCCACCGTCTTGGAAGTCCGCGAGCAGATACGCCAAATTGAAAGGGCCGTAGCATCTAAAGAATCGAGGTAAAAAAAAAACTTTCATACTAATAATAAAAATAATGATCGGTTACTTTATTAGATTCATTTTGAGAGTTCTACGTTCGCTTCCAAACACACGTCGGAAACTTAGTGCAGCTATTTTCAAGAACCTTATTCAATCTATTTATCCAGCCGGTACGGAACGAGAAACTGCTCTAAGTTTGATTCCAAATACTCCGGTCGGGGTTATAGAGCCTGATGTTCCGCGAAGCCGTTCTGCTTCAAAGTCTCCAATCGCCGAAGTGGACGCATACTTTTATTTGCTTTTACTAGTGAAACTTATCGACGAGGGTGATATAAAACGTGCAGTTTTATGTTCTGAAGCTCTTATGTCTAAAATAGCGGGGCAAAATCGGCGTACTTTAGATTTGATTGGAGCAAAATCGTATTTTTACTACTCTCGAGTCACGGAACTCAATAGCTGTCTTGAAACTATAAGAGGATTTCTTCATGCTCGCCTGCGAACGGCTACGCTCCGAAATGATTTCGAAGGACAAGCAGTTCTTATTAATTGTTTGCTTCGAAATTATTTGCACTATTCACTTTACGACCAAGCTGATAAACTAGTAAAGAAGTCTGTTTTCCCAGTTTCGGCTAGTAACAATGAATGGGCAAGGTTTTTGTATTACCTAGGCCGTATCAAAGCAGCGAAGCTGGAATACAGCGATGCGCATAAACACTTGGTACAAGCACTGCGCAAAGCTCCACAAAATGCAGCCGTTGGGTTTAGACAAACTGTACAGAAATTGATCATAGTTGTCGAGTTGCTGTTGGGAAATATACCTGAGAGACAAATTTTCAGGCAGGCAGCACTACGAAAATCACTTGCTCCATATTTCCAACTTACTCAAGCAGTCCGTTTGGGTAATCTAAAGAGATTTGGGGAGGTAGTTGAAAACTACGGTCCTAAATTTCAACAGGATCACACCTACACTCTCATTATTCGACTTAGGCACAATGTTATAAAAACTGCCATACGCTCAATTGGACTTTCCTATTCACGCATTTCTCCAAATGACATCGCAAAACGCCTAATGCTGGATTCAGCAGAGGATGCAGAATTTGTTGTATCTAAAGCCATTCGGGATGGCGTTATTGAAGCTACTCTCGATCCAGAACAAAATTATATGCGAAGCAAAGAAAGTACTGATATATACAGCACTCGTGAACCTCAGTTGGCTTTTCATGAACGTATTACATTCTGCCTTGATTTGCATAACCAAAGTGTGAAAGCGATGCGTTACCCTCCGAAATCCTATGGGAAAGATCTTGAAAGCGCCGAAGAGCGCCGGGAGCGTGAACAGCAAGATTTAGAATTAGCTAAAGAAATGGCAGAGGATGACGAGGATGGATTTTAAACCGGTTTCCTTTCTCACATCAAAAACAATGGCCAGCGCTATTTTACAAAAAATTTAGTACATACATACGCATAACTTTAACGGCACCCGTATTTGAATTAAATGTTTAAAAATGTAAAAAATGTATATGTATTTTGGCCCCTATTATGAGTTGCATTTGATCTTAGAGTGTAGTCGAAAGTGCTGATCGAACGAATTTTCATTTTGTGTTGCGCTCATTCAGCGCCACGGAGACGATCAAATATCTTTATCAACGCTTTAAGTGTATTGGTGTCGTTGGCTTCCCACTGGGAAAATAGGGCCTGTTCGAGGCACGTAATAAAAGCGGCATTACTGCCGTACTGATGAAAAATGGCAACATTGTTGCAACTGCCCAACTGATACCACATTGCTGGAAATTCACACAGATCATGATACTTTAATAATTCGCACAACACTGCGGTTGTGATTGCAACTCGAACAAGCCCTAGGTAAGCCCCCTACGAGGTAAGCCATGTTTTCTTTCAGTTTTTAGTAGCAAAATTGTCATCTTGGCCAATTTCATCTAATAGTAAAGCACAAAATGAACACCTCCGACGACACATTACGTTGTCAAAATAACGTGCAGCCGGAGTTATTTCCAAGCACCGAACTAGTCATAGCGACTGCTCTGCATTACACATTTTTGTTAAAGTAAGGGATATTTGTTAGTGACATGGTAATGACAGCCGGGTGTATTGTAAGTTGCTGCCCTTCGCCTGGCGGCCCTTACCACTTCCCTGCCGAATGGCCATTACTTTAACAAAGACGTGGCCGCCTTATGTAAGTAGGAATTAAGAATGTACATTTGGTATCAGACACCTCCGAGCCGCTTTACAAAGTAAAATACGTGTAATGCAGAGCAGTCGCCCGAAGTAGTTCGGCGCTTGGAAATAACTTCGACTGCACATTACTTTGCAACGTACAACGTAATGTGTCGTCGGAGGTGTCCATTTTGCGCTTTACTAGTAGATGGCATTAGCCATGATGACAATAGGTACGTTCGTTTAAAATCTCCAGTAAAAAACATCCAACTGCTAGGGACACGAATTTTGATACCATATCGATACTTTTGGCATTCGATACCGATATTTTCTACTCAATAGTTTTAAATATATACGATATGTTTTGGAATCGAGTACCAGAACCCTAGTATCGTATCGAATGTATTAAACTCACTGTTCAATATTATTGCATAGTCTTTTACTTTTCTACTAACTTTTTGCAGCCCTGTGATGTTGTACTGAACATTGAATTGTTTTACCTTTTGCAACCCTGTAATGACAACTGAGAATTGTATTTTTTGTAAAAAACTCGATTAAATTCGGAACTTTTAAAGAAAAGACACGCGGATTTTCATTTAACCTTAATTTTATAACAAGGTTCGTATTACTATTAATGTCTTCGCAACACTCACATTACAAGGATAATGTTCTTACCAATTAATAATAAATTGGGCTTTAAGAGCAGAAATGTGCAATATAGTTAGGATTGCATGTTGTGGAATTTGAACCCGCGACTTCGGTGTTTTAAGACAAGACCTCAATCTCTACGTGTTGTTACACAATATGTTAGTGTTTGAGCGAGATTCTCCTCCGATTTGTAAAGTGCGCCTTAAGTTCTGAACACATTAAAAACGACGAGCTACGGGCCACAGCTTCCAATTTGTTATCTTCATTGTCTAAACGCTTTGTCGATAGCGACATGATTTTTTTTGAATGCATCGGCAACATCATGAATTTGTACGAGTTTGACACAAAAGAAGAGGAAGAACCTAATCTGTCGCTGGAAAAATAGAAATAGATCTAATCTGGCTACACACTCTAGATCTAATCTGACCAAAATCTACATAAGAGTACGTGTTAAAATAATTTGACAGCTATGGTCCATAGCTCGTCGTTTTCATTGTGTTCGGGCTATTAATGTGGCACAAAAGGGGTCCCTACAGTTTTATGGCGACTTTGAACGGCGATTTTGTTTTACTGGGAAGCTGTTTTTCATTTTCAAGTTTTGAGCACTTCTAATCATTACACCAAAGCGGCCTATATACGAGACCTATATTCATATACATTTTTTGGATTTTGGTATCGATATTTGAAATATCGAGTCTTTTTATTCCGATATTAATGGGTACCCGATATTTTTAAAGCGATATTTTAAATGAGTACCAAATCGATACTTTCTGTTCAATATCGTGTCCCTAACAACTGCCAAATTCCCGCGAAATGTCACCTGTTCTCTCACAAGAGAAAAATATCCAAAACAGTACGCGAACAGAAAATTTGCAGAAACTTGCAAGTTGACGAACAGCTGATATAATTTTTGTTTACATTCAAAATTGTAAAATTTAAAACGTACGAAAACTCATCACAAAGTGGTATCCTGACACAGTTTATTGATTAAACAAATAACTACTTACTAGTCGGCCGCTGTGGTGTAGTGGTAAGCAGGTTCAAGCCCTGGTCAAAGCAACACCCCAAAAAATATAGAAAAAGGTTTTTTCTTAACAGCGGTCGTCCCNATTTCTGCCATGAAAAACAGCTTCTCATAAAAATACAATCGCCGTTCGGAGTCGGCGTAAAACTGTAGGTCCCTCCGCTTTGTGTGACAACATCAAGGCGCACGCCACAAGTCGGAGAAGAAGCTTGGCCAAACACTAACATATGTGTAAGCGCCGAACTATTATTATTATTATTACTTACTTCTTACAAGTACTATTAGTCGAATTTTATCATTTTTAACTTCCAAACCATCAAATTCCATTTTCTGATTTGCCTAAATACAAACCAGCTGTTTTTGATCAGCTATTTTCCTGTTGGCAAATCGCTGTTGGCAAAAATTTTTGCAGCTTCCCCTCAAAATGAAATGTCACTTTGCCCTCTCAATTTCGCCTACTTTGCAAGTTTTTTCCGTACGCTAACGCAAAAACCTGAAAGTTTTGGTTAAACATGCACAATTAACAGCTACGCGAAAGCAACTAATTTTGGTACTAAAAACTGAAAGGAAACATGGCTTACCTCGTAAGGTGCTTACCTATTTTCCCAGTGGGTTTTGTCGGCTACACGTACACCACACCGACTCGTTGCCGGCTATGATTGATGAAAATCAAAAAATTTTGATATTTGAATTTGATGACTGTTTATTTGACCGTCTCGCGTTATGCTTGACAAAAAACAAGCTCGCTTGCCTTCTGGGCGTCGTGGTGAGGAAGTGTGCGGACAAGAAAAAAAATGGTTTTATGTTTGATTGCTCATTATCAATGCTTACTAGCTTTATGAAATGTAATAAATATTAATTTATAACATATAACATATAAAATTATGCCATGAATGATATAATAATTAAAAACAAATACTCATCCGATGATATCGTGCTAACAAACGAACACTGCGTATTCATAATACAAAGTGGTGATTGACGCGTTTATTTGAACGTCTGCAGGCAAGCCACGAGCAAACCTCANAAATGTAATAAATATTAATTTATAACATATAACATATAAAATTATGCCATGAATGATATAATAATTAAAAACAAATACTCATCCGATGATATCGTGCTAACAAACGAACACTGCGTATTCATAATACAAAGTGGTGATTGACGCGTTTATTTGAACGTCTGCAGGCAAGCCACGAGCAAACCTCACACACATACGCAATGCTTGACGTATTTATTTGATTGTCTCCGTGGCGCTTAAGATGAAGAATAACGCTATTGTGAATTTCGCTCGTTTAGGTTGTTCACAATAGTATATTTTCACCGCTGAGAAGCTTTGCTTACAAATCGAGCAAACTAATGGGCTGTTTTTGCTTACGCGTAAAAGCACATTTAGCGCATTTAGCTCTAAATGCAAATACAAATACAAAATACTCATCCGNAGCTTTATGAAATGTAATAAATATTAATTTATAACATATAACATATAAAATTATGCCATGAATGATATAATAATTAAAAACAAATACTCATCCGATGACATCGTGCTAACAAACGAACACTGCGTATTCATAATACAAAGTGGTGATTGACGCGTTTATTTGAACGTCTGCGGGCAAGCCACGAGCAAACCTCACACACATACGCAAAGCTTGACGTATTTATTTGATTGTCTCCGTGGCGCTTAAGATGAAGAATAATAGGCTGTTTTTGCTTACGCGTAAAAGCACATTTAGCGCATTTAGCTCTAAATGCTACTCTAAAATGTACATTTATCCATACAAAATTCGTCACCTAAATGCAACTAAATGCAACTACATTTTTGCATTAAGAATCTAAATGCTAAAAGCAACCCTGTGATCTTCCAAAATTTCCACGATTCGAACATGGTTTAAAGAGAAAAAGTGGCAACATTGCTTTTTCGAGTATACAGTTGCTAGCTGCGTTTCAGTGATCGCCGATCGAGATTTCTTTTATTTTGCATTACATATTTGGATAAAGAAAAGTTAA